CCCCCCCCCCCTCAATGCTGAGTACTTTGGAACAGTGAGCATTTTTCCTTATCCAGCTGAGAAGATGAATCAACTTGAGGAGTTCTTGAAGACCCATGCGTCAGGTCCCCAGACTCCTGAACATCGTATTGTGTAACTATTTTCAGGAGGATTGTGAGAACAGTCCTGCTTCTGCTGCTAAAGTTCAAGAGAAGCAAGTATGCGTAAATCTCTGCATTCTTTTTTTCCTGTGTCTTGATGGGTAGTGCTCTGATTATTATGATGCAAAAGTGAGTTTGTAGTGCCATTCTAGTAAAGAACTGAATTTCCTTTTTGTCCAATGCTATAAAGAACTTTGCTGACTTAAAATTAAGCAAATACATAAAAGATTGTTCATTCATGTCTTGATGTGAGAGGTGGGTAAAAGGCTGATGGTAGTGGTCTTATTTTTTCCTTTGCTTCTATCATTTGGAATCTCCTAGCCCTTTTATGATTTTATGGCCACAGTCAGGCCCCTAAGCACAGGCCCACGAATTTGCATTTCTAATAAGCTCACAGGTAATACCAATGCTTCTCCTCTAGGGCTCTCACTTTGAATTTGGTGGTTTGGCCCCTGGGTACCACCTACAGTGCATTTTCTTTTTGGAGTGGAGCCTTCCTCCCTGCACATGGTTGGGTGTTCCAACATGAAACCTGAGGTGACTGCTTATTTATTCTGTTGGCATTGTGATTCACCAGAGTACAGCCAGGGTCCTTGGCATCTTGACTATTGGAAGGCATCCTGCCACCAAGCCAGCTGTCTCCTTTCGCTCCGAGGCCTACACAGGTGTTCTGCATGAGCTGGGTTGTTTTTCCATTACCCATTACCATGCTAGGACTAATTTGTGCAAAATAGCCCCCACCTAACACTGCCTCCACTTTCAGGAAGCAGGCTTCTTAGGGGAAAGGTTATGGAGAGCTCTGTGGCTTCAGAGTGGAATTGATTCAACTCCTGCAATTTCTTTACCCCTTATCAGTAATGGATTCTAGCTGTTTGCAAGGGTTGTAAACACACACATACACAAGTCTTTTAAAATGTGCTGCTTTGGGGAGGGGGTTTCCTGGTGGCTCAATCAGTTAGGCATCTGACTTCTGCTCAGGTCATGATCTCACAGTTTGTGAGTTCCAGCCCTGCATCCAGCTTTCTGCAGTCAGGGCAGAGCCTGCTTGGGATCCTGTCTCCCTCGGTCTCTGTCCCTTCCCAACTCATGTGTGTCCTCATGCATGCTCTCTATCTCAAAAATAAGTAAACATTAAAAAACTTTAAATGTGCTGCTTTGATTACAGGTGATATCGAACGTTTTTCTAATTCACATTTTTGTAAAATGCTTTTACATTTCTTATTCCTATATTCCTTCTTTCAACTCTGAAGATAGGAATTTTTATTATCTGTATGAGCTTTTGTAACAAATAATGGCCCATTATAACCAATATTTTCCACTCCTTTGCTTCTCAAATTTTTTGTATACGAAAAAATTCCATTTTCTGTAGTTAAACTAATTATTTTCTGTCTGATTTCCCCTCATCCTCATCCCAACCCCTTTTAATTAAGCCTAGGTACTCCTGCGTTTATCCTTCTGCAGAAATTTGATGAAAAAAAATTCCAACAGGTTATTTCTACTGGGATATCTACAAAACCATTAAACACTTTTTATAATGTTATTTGGAGGAAGAGGATTATGCTTAAAACATTCTAATTGTCTAAAAATTATCCAGAATTATTAAATGATCCTGTGCATTTTTCATCCTTTACATACATTAACATGTTGAAGCCCTTAACCCCCAGTACTTCAGACTGTGACTGTATTTGGAGACAGGGCCTTTAAGGAGCTAATTAAAGTGAAATGAGGGGGGCGCCTGGGTGGCTCAGTTGGTTAAGTGTCTGACTTCAAAACTCAGGTCATGATCTCATGATTTGTGAGTTTGAACCCTTTATTGGGGTCTGCTCTGACAGCTCAGAGCCTGGAACCTGCTTTGGATTCTTTATCTCCCTTTCTGTCTGCCTCTCCCCCACTTGCGTGCACACTCTCTCTCTAAAAAATAAATAAACATTAGAAAAAACGAAATGAGATCCTATGGGTGGGACCTTAACCAATATGACTGGGGCCTTTATGGGAAGGGGAAATATGCACAGAGATAGGTGGGTGCATGGAGAAAAGACCATGTGAGAAGACAGCAAAATGGCAGCCATCTGCCAGCTGAGGAGAGAAGCCTCAGAAGAAACCAATCCTGCTGACACATTGATTTTGGACTTTCAGCCTCCACATCTTTGAGAAAATATTTAAGCCACCCGGTGTGTTGTCTTGTTATGGCAGCCCTAGCAAACTAATACACATTTAGTATGGTTTTTCTCTGTGTTCCCTTTCACTGTATGCTGATACGGTATTTTTACTACCTTCATAACTTAATAATTAAAAATAATTAAAAATTAAATAATAAAAAGATTGTCATTCTTTTCAGAACTTGGGGGTAATATTAGCTAAGTATTAGAGCTTGTATCACCTACCAGGCCTTATGCCAAGCACCTAAATATGATGCTTGGAACATGATTAACTTGCTAAGGTCACAGAGCTAGGACATTGGGATGGATGGGTGAGATTTGAACCAAAACATTGATTCCAGGATCCAAACTCTTTATACTGTCCCACGTGCTTTCATTTTTCCTCCACACCTGAATTTAGACTCATCTCATAGTTTTTATTTCTTTTTAAGAGCAATTAGAATAAACCTCTTAATTGTAAAGAATCAGGGACAACATGGTTTTTCGTTTTCTTTTTTCTTAAGTTTATTTTTTGAGAGAGAGCTAGAGAGGGAAAGAGAGGATCCCAAGCAGGCTCTGCACGGTCAGCATGGAGCCCAACGTGGGGCTCGAACTCATGAACCGTGAGAGCATGATCTGAGCTGAAACCAAGAGTTAGACACTTAACTGACTGAACCACCTAGGTGCCCCATATTGACTTTTTAAAGTTTATTTATTTATTTTGAGAGAGTGTGTGAGGGAAAGGGGCAGAGACTTAATCCCAAACAGGGTCCACACTGTCAGCATGAGAGCCTGACACAGGGCTCCATCCCAACGAACTGTGAGATCATGACCTGAGCTGAAATCAAAAGTTGGATGCTTAACTGACTGAGCTACCCAGGCACCCCTTGTTTGTCCCAGTCTTAGTGATGTTAAAAAAAAACAAAAACAACCTTGTTTTGGGACATCTGGATGGCTCAGTCGGTTGAGCAGCAGACTTCAGCTCAGGTCATGATCTCATGGTTTGTGAATCCGAGCCCCACATCGGGCTCACTGCTGTCGGTGCAGAGCCTGCTTCGGATCCTGTGTCTCCCTCTCTCTTTGCCTCTCCCCCACTCATGCTCTCTCAAAAATAAATAAAAAGGCCTTATTTTGATCAAAAGTGTGAAACTGAGAGATTCTGATGTGCTAAGTAGTACCAACCTGGCTTAACTAAAATGAAGCTGTGGGAAGACCTTGAGATAGGCTACATGTGTGGTCTACAGCTAACCTCAGAAGTTAGTTCTACAGATTCTATGAACCATGAACTTTTTTCTTTGATGCCTCTAATCAGCCTATTCAAAAATTGTCCAGACTGACCTTTTTACTAGCTGTCAATACTTTTACCTGAAAAAATATACAAACATGTCATCGTTTCCAGACTTTTGCAGTTTTGCCTTTGTTCCTTCACAATCTTTTCATTGACTGCCATGGGTCTCAGTTCCCAGAGTTTCCCATCTAACTCACCATCTTCTTTTAGTTGGTAAAACATACTCTGTAATGCATATATAATGTATTTGTAGTTTAAAGAATGAAATGAGCACTCCAGTGTACCCTAATAGAACCCAATATTTTTAGAAGGCATCTGTATACACCTTTTCTCTCAACCAATTTTCTGTTTTTAAATAAGTTCCTTTATCTGGAAAACAAATGACCAAGAGTGCCAATAGAACAGTGAGAGGCTTGTCCTGTTAAATATTAAAACATTCTATAAAGCTACATAGTTAGAACCATGGGATAGGTATTGAAAAAAATAGAGAAGTGACACACGTGGACATAAGTACAAGTGAAACTGTTGAAAGTGATTTTCCGTAAGAGAATAGGTTGAAAAGGGCAGATAGAGAGCTCTGGAGACCTTCAGCTGGGTGAAAACTCAGGTGGCACTGCTTCATGCCCTACTTTAAGAGTCTAATAGGGCTTTTAAAAAAAATTTTTTTTAATGTTTATTTTTGAGAGAGACAGAATGTGAGCAGGGTAAGGGTAGAGAGAGAGACAGAATCTGAAGCAGGTTCCAGGCTCCGAGCTGCCAACACAGAGCCCAACATGGGGCTCGAATTCACAAATCCTGAGATCATGACCTGAGCCAAAGTCAGAAGTCTGATGCTTGACTGACAGAACCACCCAGGAGCCCCTAATAGTTTGTTTGTTTGTTTTTTTAATTGAACATTTGTCCTTTATTTACTCTGATATTCCCCTTCTGGATTAAAAAGATATATCAAGTCTTCATTCTACTCTGAGGTGGCCTCAATTGAAATTTTGAGCCTGGATTGTTTTTGAGTCTTAAATGTTTGAAGTTCACTCCACCCAGGCTTTGCTTCTTCTAAAAACAGTTAATAATCCATTAAAATTCAGCTTTGCATTTTATTTCCCTTATTAAAATAAGTGCTAATTTAAAATTGGAGTGGTCATCCATTAGTGGTGGCCAAAGAGTGTATGATAGATATACCACTCCCTTGGTTTTTAAAGTTAGGTTTCCTTGAAATTTTTAAATGAAAATTTTCACAATCAAGATGAATGTATGTTTTATTTATCCAAGCACCCAGCTGTTCACAGTTTGCTTCCTTCTGCTAGCTAGACACTGGCTCCCAGCTGCTAGGAGTAGAGCAGAAAGCGAAACTGATAGAGGTGCTGATTATCACTACAAAGGCAATCATATTACAATATGTAAATATCTGAAATTAACCTGTACACCTTACATTTACACAATGTTACAGGTCAGGTATATTTCAATCAAAAAAAAAAAAAAAAAA